TCATCTAGAGTGTCCCATTTAGGCCTTTAGTCTTAAAGACGCCAGTTTTCACACAAAGGGTTAGTCTCTTTGATGTCCAAATCACCAAGGGGGTGGAAATTATTAAAATTATGTCAGCCTGGGTTATTTCTACTTGGTTTTCTGCTCTGCATAAATAATACGCCTATACCTGGCCATTTATACATATTGTGTTATAATTTCAAGATATTCGAACATTTAGTTAGCAATAATAGTTTAATATTCAAACACTATAACAATGTTTACAGAATCTGATATTGAAGTAAAGGCCGTAAAGGTTAAGTAATTTTCCTAACTAATAAATATTTGCGTTTTATTTTCACATACAATTATTTGTAAAGCAGTCAGTGACGGTTGACCTGGTCAAGCAAGCTAAACGTGACAGTTCTATATTTAAAATAAATTATTGTGGAAATGTAAGTGATTTTATCTGATAAAGTTTAAACAATATCAGAGTTTTACTTTTGTTTGTTGGTCATTTGTTGGTTCATCTAATTATATGTTTTGTAAAATTTACAAAGGTTTTAAAGCATTTCTTCCTGAATTGCTTCAAATGTATTATTATTAGTGTTAATTACTCTGTTGATATACCACTACATTTCACTTTCTTATATTTTTGAACGGGGGCGTTGACAGCTTGTTCACTCTGTATACATAAAAGTTTTATTTTGTAACCATTAAAGGTACATAGGAAAAGGACTTTTCCAAATTGTAATACAGAATACAGAATTTCATTTCTTGTCTTTATTAAATGCAAGATTGTGGCACGTAGCGAAAGAATTTCATAGTACAATTCGACATCCAGTTCCGCCCGTGCCCCAGTGGCCTACATTTCCGGCCTTGAACCCCTTCCCCACTCCCGTGACGTCACGACAGCCCTTAGTACCTCTTCTAATGTTTGAAGATTTTATAAGCTTATGCATTAAACCGACTAATTAAGGATTCATTTTTCTTTTACGAACTTTTAAAATTAAATGCAGTTTTAGATGTATCGAATATCTCTTGAAAGTCCAACGTCATTTGACCAAGAATCAAACACGGGAATTCAAGAATTGAAACTATAAATGTGGGAACGAAAAAGTTAAACTACGGTTTATGTACAAATATAATTTATAAGAACTTCGGAACCGTTTCATTATTGTATTATGTGTGTATCACTTTTACACAAAAGACGGATACATAGGTTTAACAGATGTCATTTCTAAAATAAATTGGAAATTTGTCTATTTTATATCGACGCGTCAGCCCGAAGGCCCAGTTTCACACTTCAAACTTAATTGGCACTGCAATTATGCACCAGATGACACGAATGACACTCTCATATGTTAAGTTTTTGTTTATAAAACTTTTGTTGTACTACCTTTTGTTTTATGACTTCGTACGCGTTGTCTGTTTGTCTATAGATTAAAAAATATAAGTAAACTGCAGTACCATAAATCATAGAATGGATTTTAGTGCTAAATAACCATAACTTTCAGAGGAATAAAACATTTTCTAGTGTCTATGCTCTTTCGAAATACATAATTATATTTTTTATGGCATCATTCTAGTGGTTTATTATTTCCCTTATTTATTTAGTTTTCTTTATGAAAGAGGGACGGCTTTGTCACCTCGACTGTCCTTTTATGAGTGTAAGAGAGCCAATACCGATTTATAGTTTAATTAAAACTAAGCAAGAATGCTACTCAATTTTAGTCTAGTTTATGTCCCTCAGAGTATAAAAAGCACAGTAATGGACATATGCATACTCATATATATAATGTATTTTTAATAAAGTGCTAGTAAAGATTAGATTCCAAAGGGGTATTGAGCCTTCTATTCTTTGATTGAAGATTTGCAGACAAAGTTAAAACCATGAGAGACAAATAAAGGAATTTTAAGGATGCCTTCACTCCGTCGGAAGTCGTGTTAACATAATATTAATTAACATATTATTTAAATAATTAAATAGTACTCGAATACAGGTTATTTTAATTTTATTTATGTCCCTCTCAAAAAATTATACTTTATCCGGCAATTGCCCATCCTTAGATCCACTGAGCGTTACCAACAAACGAATAGAGAATAGAGACATACCTATTGAGCTATCAAATACTAGGCGAGAAGTATTTATACCAAATGTTAAAGGATTGATAAAGTTCGTCTGACAATTAACCTATTATCGTAACTTGTTATAGAATATCTGCTAACTCTTAAATAAACTGTGTAAAATGTACCCACACCCAGTTGGCGAAGACCGTAATTCTTAAGAACCGTTTGCATATAAATATTGTTCTATTCGCAATATAACTTTCCTGAATGAAGATTTATTACGATTAAATTTACACCTTTGACGGCGGTGATAGCCCCCTTTGGTTTTAAAGGTTTTAACTAATAGAATATACTTTATGAATATACTAATCTCGGTTAATGTTTATCTCGGTTTTATGTAATTGTTGCAATTGTAAAAAAGTTGTTATTTTTAGCAACGCTTACGCACCGCAACGCTTTAATGAGCTACTGATACTTATTTCGTGAATTTTACTTATGTTGCGTAACCGTAACGTAAACTTTCAATTCTTCAATGTATAATTTTGTTCATATATATTTTTTCCATTCTAATATAAAAACCTAACTAGAGCCTTATACTAATACTTACCGTAGTCTAAACAAATATGCCCATTGTAGTACATAATTTTCGTACATTTACAAAAATCACATAGACCTTTGTATGGCTCTAGGGAATTTAAAATGAATAAAAGAACAAACGCGTGTATATTTTTACCCGACTCCCATTTATTTCAAATGAGAATAAAATATAGTTTTTTTGTAATGTATTAACAAAGTAAAAGTTACTTATACATTTATACTCATTCAAAAAGGTAATCTAATTTTTTCACGCGTAATGTAGTAATACGAAAATTTTGCTAACATACATGACCACACAGTAGTTAAGTATTTTATTCTTAAACAAAGAGAGGAACACGCATATTACAATAAACATTATATAAAATCTTTAACACTGTATATTTATATTGCATGGTTTTGCTATCGCTTTTAACACATGACACAACATTTTGATGAATCAATAATAAAAATGAAACGATCAATCTAGACCCGTAAAATTTACAGGTTTTGAAATAATTAAGTTAATTACGTATCGCGCCTAAATTTTTTTCGTATCGCTATAATAAAACCTAATTTGTACCTAATAGAACCTTTTATCCTTTGTTCGGCAAATATAATGAACGACTCAGATATTTAGTTTAAAAAACTCATTTTAGTTACGTTTGGAAATCACATACAGAAAAAACAATGTTCTAAATTATAATATCATGCGACTCGCGTTATCAATCAATTTCAATCCTAAACTTAACTAACATGAAACCACAATAAACTATAAAAGAGCTTAATTATATTAATAAAAAGCAAATACCTACAAAACCGTAAATAAATGTCATTTCGTCTGTGTTATATATGTCAGTGTCAGTTTGACAAACATCTCCAAAACTGATATTATGTATCAGCACGTTGAGCTGTTAAACAGAGATGTGACATAAGTATATGATGGCTGGCTGTGCGCCAGCGTGGACCCTCGGCTTATCAGCATGAAACATTGTTGACAATAACTCACCTACTTGGCAAATATCCTATTGCACTGATTAAATAATTGACTTGAATTAATTCAAATAACTGTTTTTTAATTAATATCTTATTAATTTATTTGCCAAGATTTAAACTAGTCTCCTCCACTTTAGATTTATTTTTTTATAAAGATAGGTGCTAGATTTGTTTTGTGAATGTGAAAGTATTTGTAATTACATAAATTAAAAAAAACAATAACATATAATCTTATGTAACGATCAAAATCACGACTGATAGCAAAGCCTTTGAGAAAAAATCTCTTTGCATGATGGCATAGTCTGTATTGATAATGATAAGCGGTGCTGACAGTATAACGTGTATACGAAATACCGCAGTGCGGTTTTGCCTAGAAGCGACAAAATTCTTTGATGTTGTCAATAAACTTGTATTGTGAGCGGATTGAGGGCTCTTTTGTATGTCCGGATATTTGAGTTTGGCTTTGTTTGTTGGCGTAATATTTATTTTTAATCAATACATACTAAAGGAGTAATAGTGTTACACGAAATGTGAATAGGTTCTGCAAAATACTGTATGTATTTGTAATTTTATGTTTTCTATAAGCTGGAGTTATGAGTAAATAGAAGTAGAAGAGTTATGTAGACATTTCTTGTCTTAAATATGTATGGCTTTGGACATGAAAACGTAGCAGACATTAATTAGGTTTTGGTTTCATATTGATGTAAATTTTAAGGCAACAAACATATTTTTCAAGCTAACAAAAACCACTAAAATCGTCGTTCATCTTTTGTTTCTACAAAAATGCCAAAATACCGAATATGTTCTCATAATAAAAACCTTCCCAACATTACGTAGATATTTAGCGAAGCCTCTTTGTGCCTACTAAAAGGTCTGAAAATTGGCAAGAATTCAAGAAACGTTAATAACAGATATAAAATTATATGAACCATAAATTATTCGGTAATAACATAGTAGATAGTCAGCATTCTTGGGTAATTAAGTAGCACTCAGAACACCTGGGTGCGGCTTTCAGATTTATGAGGCTTTCGACTTGGTTTCGATCGCTGCCTTCACCTCCACCGTGAATGCATACGTTCACCCCAACTACACAGTACTGAAACATTTAGCCTGTGAGGTCAAACACTCATAGTATGTTTAAAATCACTATAAAAACACATACAAGGAAAAGTAAGTAATTTTGAGTGTAGTTTAGTAATAAAATTTCGAAGAAAGTAAAAATACGTGAATACTGCACATTTAAGGTCTAGTATATAATGTATTTGTTAAGTAAATAATGTTCGCGTTCATCTACATTAAATAAATGTTAATCAAAGTTTCATTTAAGGTAAAATATATTTAACTCAGTATCTTTTTTTGCAGAGTAAACGGTGGCCCCCGGCATGAGGTCGGGGGAGGGCGAAGGCTCCGAGCTGGCGGAGTTCGGCGCGCGCTGGCCGCCGCCCTACACTGCCTACGGCTGGCGCTCCGCCACGCCGCAGCACCCGCCCGCCCACCATCTCGCTAGGCATTCGCGCTCGCAGCAGGTAATATAAAAAGCCAAAGCCCAGCCAGTCCAGCTTTAGGGCTGAGAAAGGATAGATTGAATATTTACTGTTTTTTATATCTACATAAAATAAAGAATGAAATGATTAATGCATAACACTTTTATAGTACCATTTCATTATTTTACGTTACATACCGAACAAATTTAGCAGAACTAAACCATTTTAATTGAATTAATCTGCATTGTGTTTTCATTTGCATTCACTTGTATATAATGTGTATATTTATAGCACTTCTGAGGTGAACATGCTGAAACAAATGTCGTTTCCTCATTCCTTTCCCTTTTAAGAGAAATGTTGGATATACCCAGTGGTTGCAGGACAACCGCCACACGAGCTACGAGGCGGAAGATGCCCGGGTGCGAGCTAGAGGTGGGGTTTACTATTCCCCGCCGGGTACCTCATACACTATTGTGGAGCGACCAGCCTCCTCCCATGGGCACCATCCGGCCTACTCACATTATCCAGGGAAGCTTTCCCGTACTCCATATGTTGGCTCTACAACGTTAGCGAATAGTGCCGGTTAGTATAAAATAATTATATTTCTAAATATCAGTTTTGACGATTAACATCTTCCTATACCGAACCAATAAAATGAAATTTGAAGGAATTAGATTTACCGGATCACCTAATCGTAAGCTGTTACGATAATTAATTCCCAAGCGGCCCTGAATAACACAATGCTTTCTTTAGTAGGTGCAACAAGTTTACGAAATAGTACCAGTCATCTAACTGCTACCAATGGGAAGAAACGGCCGATATCGCCAGAGCAAGTGCTAAGGCTGTTCGGCCAAGGTGGTGCTGCTGCGTTGGGAAAGGCGCTGCCACCCTCACATCCACCAGCACCACTACCAGTTCCTTTACCAGCACCTCTGCCGACACGGCGGCATTCACCAGCAAGTAGTCCAAGCAGTACAACGCATCACGTAAGAGCATCTTATATATTACTAGCTGATCCGGCAAACGTCGTTTTGCCATGTTTATCATTTATAATAAAAAATAGGGGTTGATCGAAAAAAAAAAAATATCTAAAAATTAAAAAATAAATATTTAGTGGTGGACTACCCTTTACATTTAGGGGGATGAAAAATAGATGTTGTCCGATTCTCAGACATACCCAATATGCACACAAAATTTCATGAGAATCGGTCAAGCCGTTTCGGAGGAGTTTTACTACAAACACCGCGACACTAGTTTAGAGTTTTATATATTAGATTTACTACAGGAACTTCATCAAATAAATGTTTCGGCCATATTAAGCTGATCAGTCAACTCTGAGCCTAATCCGTATAACTGGTGATCTATGTTTCTAAACGAAAAATCGAATTTGACTTTGCGACTTTGCACGTTTCTTTCCTTCCTTAAAATCATACACTTTAATGAACACGCAACTAATTTCTAAGAATTAGGAGTAATAATATTCTGCTTAATCAATACATACACATTGTAAAATATCAAAATACTGGAAGAATTGGTTCATGTAAGCTAAAAATAGTGAGACGTGGGCCGCGAGGTTCGAACGCGTGAATAATTCGATGGAGTGATCGATATCACTACTTTATTCATGACCACGTTGGCAAACGTTTAGGTAATGGATAAGACCTGGGCGGCGATTTAATATTGGATTTTTGAGGAACATTTTCTACCGTGCAGTCATAGAATTCGTTGCATCTGCGTTCAGGAAAAACTAATTAGTTAATATCGCATTACAGTGAGCAAATGCTGCCAGCATTAAAGGTACACTGTCAGGGACCAATTTCAGTTTCTTTTTAAGTTAAGAATATGGAATATTTATGTATTAAATAAAAGATATACGTTATTTATTTTATCCCTTCAGAAGTAAAGTCTTTGTCTTTACTTAAATTATAACAAATAATTTCACCGACTGTATAATAGATTTATGAGGGAACGCTTCTTCGTAGTCTTCTATTAATTTTGTATATAATTAAAAAATCTACGTTTTGTTTTCGATATATGAATAAAATGGACATTCCATATTGGTTTTCATAGGTGGAGGTAACCACCCTACGGACAAGCTATCAAATTGTTAGTTTAGTCAGTTGAGTATCGGTGCGACAGGAACTACGTATAACATTTGTTATACACATAAATATTCTTAAAATTTTAAAAACATTTCAAATTATTACATTATTTTCGTAAATAAATAAGCATAGTTTTCAAGACTCGTGATATATTTTGACCACGAATACTCGTATATCAAAACGGCATAAAATTTAAAAATAGAATCGAAAGTAGGTGATCGAAGTAGGTTTGAGTGATCGATGAAAACAAAAGCGATGTAAAATGAATGCCTGAAAGCATTAAGCGGTGCGTGATGTGTTCATTTACTGAGCGTTTTAGCCATTTGTAGCATGTTGACGTATCACGATCAGTCGTATCGTATCTGTGTCTGTATCATAAATATGGACGCTCATTTTGTCCATGTCGTATATTTAAGGCGTATCTTCGCTAAAAAACGCGTCCATACTTATCAAATGCTGTATCCTGTCAGTTATCGCTTTAACTTTACAAATATAGACCTTCACTTTTCTTCCGATGTATCATGATGCGCGTGTCTTTCAGTGCACCTTTCCCTTCTTAATGTTCAGTCATGTCTTCGTTCCCAAACGGTTTAGCCATGTCAGCTCACAGTTTGGCGGTGACTAGCGCCTTTATATTATCATTAATAGTATTTCAAAAAAGTTAAATCTAGACGTAGATGGCCGAAGTGTTTAGAAACCGAAACAAACATGGTGGAAAACCATTGATGCGAGATTTAAAATTTCAGCTACCAGCGGATAAAAAAATTCACCCCCATGTCACCCTGATGTTGTGTATTCCCTTTGATGATCGCGAAAAAACCGCCGGATGGTTCGCGGTGTATCAAGTATCGTATCCATACAGTATCGTGATACAGTATCAAAATACTCCATACCCCTCTGATACGCGTATCTGATACGGGTGTATCAAGATACGCGCTTAGTGCGGATCGGGCCTATCCGATACGGCATGTATCATAAACGGTATCATTTTCGTCAACTACGATCATGATACCCCAACCCCCATCGATCACCGAAATGCTACAAATGTGGACCCGTTTTAGTGAACTGAAGTCCTACATTTTGTTTTCAAATTGGATTCCAACGAGAATTATGAGGTAATTTACACATGAATCTTATAATAGTTTATCTAGCACGCTGGGTGTGTCAAATCCAATTAGGCGACTGTTAACCGTGTTAAACTACTTATCTGTTTCTTGGTCTTTGATAGATGTTTGCGGCTTCTCTTATGAAAATATATGTAATTTGCTTACATGGTCGTAAACAATAATCCCGTCTGAATCTTTGAGGTTAGTGCTGCGAACGGTATAAATACTCAATTAAGGAAAGTCTTATATATATAAATACAATTTTAAACCTTTCTGTTTATATTAATATACATTAACGCAATATTCATTGACATTACATAATGACATGAATTATGTAAAGGTGTATTTTTAGAAATAGACTTAAAAAAGATATTAAATATGTTTATGTGTGAGTAAGCACTAAAAACTATTCCAATATGTCAAACCCTATACTTTTTTATTAATTTGTTTTCTTTACTTACATATATTTATTTATATTTGTTTTATTTACATATATTGACTTATTGTGAAGATATTTATTCATACAGAGTTTTAATACCTGCTATTGTACTAATGAAACGGCAACTGTATCATAATGAAGTACATTTAGTATTTTTCACCTAGGCTATCTATCGTGGGGCTGAAAGAGAAAGGCCGTACTCGTCGGGAGGTGCGCCTGCACCGCCGGCGGAGCCTGCCACCCGGACTGTTACCATGTGTAGAGACCCCGCTGATTCACATGGTTTTGGGATATGTGTCAAGGGTGGAAAGGAAGCTGGTAAGTATGTTGTGCATAACAACAATTAGATGAATATTTTATCACCACCTTTAAGGTGACGTACATAGAATTTTACCTAGAGATCCTATAATAAATTTTCGGTGTAGCAATAATTGTGTCGGAGATAATCGCCCACCAACTTAACTCAAACTAATCTTTATTTAAGTATTGTCAATGTTAGAACATTAACGTTAATAAAGACACTAAATTAACATCTGTTATTCTCTATATTTATATATATACTTATAACTTATATATACTTATATACTTATAACTTGTTGATTGATTTTCTGTGTTGATTTATTTATGTATTTATGTATAAAATACGTTAGCATACCAAATTATATTTTTCGGCATTAAATAACTATTGTCACATATCTTTAAAAGATTGTTGTTTTATCCAATTAATGTCATTCACAATCAAAGAATCGCGGATAAATGAACGAAATAATCGCGAACAGTTGTAGCAGTCCCGTTTATCGATTGAAATATAAATAGAACTCGTGGCGGTCAAACAAAGCGATCCAATCACTGATCAAAGGCTTTCATCCGATATAATCTCATCGAATCCATGATTACGTTTCTCAAATTCGGTCAACTCGATTCAGTTTTTATACTCTTTTTTTTATAGTAACAAAAAGATTACCAACAATTACTTTTATATACAAAATCCTATACATAAATATTTAATATTTTTGTTCAGGCGTTGGTGTGTATATATCTCGAGTTGAGGAGGGCTCTGTGGCAGAGCGGGCAGGCCTTCGCCCCGGGGACTCCATCTTGCAAGTCAATGGGACCCCGTTCTCGGGAATATCACACGAAGATGCTCTCAAAGTAAGGTTTCAGTAGTAATTAAGTAGAGTTTTAAATTTTTGAATGATTTTTTTTATCTTTAATATTTATATACCTAGCTGAATTCGTAGATAAATTGTTTGTTTCACGTCAGCGAGTAGAACCAAATTAATTGATAAAAACGGGCTCGGGATTGAAAGACTTATTTTGTTTTAACTAAATAATTGACTTGATTCTTTAGATGGTAAATAAATTGTCAGAATGATATTAATGACTAGTTGAGATAGCTGCGCCATAACATGTGATTTTTGTATATTATAAAAGCTTATATATTACAATTATCCATACATTTATAGTTGAATAAATTTTTCTATTACTCCACATAAAACATTAAAATAAAACCAGAGTACTTCTCTTCTCGGTCTTTATTTTCATTATTTTAGGAATAGTTTCAGCATTCGGTTCCACAAGCCTAAACTGGTTTGTTAATAAGTCTTTTAGTATACAACCCGTTCTTTATTGTGTGACCTTTGGCATTTTGAATTTCTACACTATCAATTCCTGAAGCAAGTGAGCCATCAATGTAACGAATATTTATTGGATCTGTTTTGTGAATCACTTGTAAGGTCACGAAAGCTACGAAGTGATATGATAATGCTGAATTTACTGCTGTAAAATTAAAATACGGACTGAATTTTTTAAAGCTATTTAGATTTTGCTTATTGCTTATTCCTCGCTTTAATCTTATGTTTTGAATTTCTAGGCCAAGAATATATTGCATACTAAGTAAGAGCTTAGGTAAATCCTTACAATGTTTCTATTCACATACACATTTCTCTTAAAATATGTGTAAGCTGTATCTAAGTACGCTTTTTCATGGTAGTATAATAATTATAAATATTAGCCGTTTTTTATTCTGTATTACAATTTTGTTATTTACTCGTGTAAATGGAAAATGTTTGTAACTAAAAAAAATACAAAATAACTAAACAAATCAATGCACTGAGCTATAAAATTTAAAGTCCGATTAAGTAACGAATGATTGAACTAAAACAAATTTCTTTAATAACTTTCGATAGCACCTAAAATGAACTTAGATAATTTCTTAGCGGTATTGACTTGCAGAGCATGGTGTATAATATAGCTGCAATCAGCAGCTATATGCTATTATTGCAAAACATACAAGTTGGCGATTAGAGTGGCGAAGAGTTTATTGCCAGTTCTTCTCGTCCGTTTTGAATTGTTTATTTCTTACATTCACCAATTATATATTTCATCATAATGTTTTTAATTACGAATTCAGTAAACTCTTGCTGAGTACTGCAGTTAAGTAAGATTATACCTATGTGTATACAATATACATATAAGTAATTCTCAGCCGCATTTTCGTTGTGGAATGTAGATGCAACAAAATGAAACGTACCAGCTGTGTGCCATTTAGTGAATGTAATTATTTCGTGACTGAACTCAGTTAAGCCTAACGGACATTCGACGCCGCCCTTCCGTTTTATTTCCTATCGCTGGCTTAATGGTACCTCTTTTGTTTTTGTCTCAATAAATAAGGTTTTATTCGAAATCCGTTTAAAACATTCGAATAAGCATTATGGTTATGAAGTTATGAGGTTTTTATATATTTGATTTCATTCATAATATTATTCTATTTACCAGTAATTCAAATCTATTCTCAAATGTTTATCCAGTGATATAAGGACGTCAACAGAACAAAAGACCACCCACTTATCAGATGATATTTATATCAAGTAGGCTGTAAATTGACGCAAAATCGATAATGGCGGTCGGGTTGGAGAAGGTTCGGGACCTGCCTTTCGATTCTGTAACTCACTTTTCGAATAAGGAGGGAGCTTGTAGTTTATTGTTTATCAGAATGCCAAATCGTAAAATGACTGCTTTACGATTGATTTGAGCGCGACCGCCGCTGCGAAAACCGCTGTGCGAGTTCGAAAGTAAGTTACAGAATCGCAAGGCTGGATTCTAATTTGATCCAAAATTGTCAAAATAACTTCTGATATTTATTTTACATGTCACATCCACCTGCACATTTCTTATAAAAGATAAATGTGTATGAAGCCGTAGCCAATCGTGCAGTAAATTTTTACGACGCCACACGGCGTCTACGCTCGACTAGTGTCCTAATTCTTAGGCTACCTGGAATTTATGCTGCTATAAAGTATACGTTTTACGAGAATATATTTTCAATATTACGTTGCTATATATATTTTTTTGTATACTGTATTGAAATGAACGAAACCTTTCTTTAAAAAATCTTAATTGTATTATAATAAACAGGCATTTTAAGAATAAGATTTAAATAAACACTTGTTATTCTTGGCGTAGTCATGTATTTTTTTCATTAATTAGGTAATTTAGTCACATAAGTGCGTGTCTTATTATATTGTGCTTAACTCGTGATGAACTTATGATTTTTATTTTAAACACAAATTAAAAAAGGACCGATGTAGTTTTGAATAAGAGCTTCTTTTTATAATTGTCTTTATAAATGTTATAATTTTTTTCGTCCACTAAATTATCTAAGTATTCTAAGTAGTAGATCTTTTCCATAGATGCTTAAATCGTGTCGTCAGCTTACAATGATGGTGCGAACAGCTGGAGCACTGGTGGGGCGGGCCTCCTGTTCCTGGATGGACCGATATGGAAGACCAGCATCCCCTCCACCATTGAAACCACCCCGGTCCGCTAGCAAAGACCGTTCCATACGACGGGTAATGTTATTTAGAATACTGTTATTTAGTTGTAATCTGTAGTAAACAATAGTCTATAGATTTTGACGAATCTGTATTTAACGAATACGTATGTTTTAACAACAAGATTGCGATGGAAAAATATAACTTTGGACGCTATGGCTCACAAGGGGCTATATATTGATGTTGATGATTTGATAACAACTAGCTGCCTGTCCCGCACAGCTGGAAAATCATATGTTTAAATATTTTGGAAATAAATGGTCTAATATGACTTTACTCGTTTCAAACATACAAAAATAGAAATCTCTCCTCTTTACAATCCTAGAATATAATATAGTACTACGCAGAAAACAAAATAATAAACCTAACACGACATTATATTTGAATGTTTTCAATATTTCCTATTAGAACGAAAAGCAATAGCATTTGCTGGTTACCACTTAATTTGAAACAATAAAGTGTAAATAAGTTATATATACTATATAATATATAACTTATTTTCTGCGGAATCGCGGATCACAGATACCTTTGATGTTAGTAAACGTTGAAAAGCGCTCCTGCAAACCTCAGATGGATAAATACTTCAATCAAAACAAATATAACTTTGCTTGAAAACGCTTTTAGGTGCTACTATTGTATTTTTTGTAATAACAAAGGCCCATAAATATCAGTAATCGGCAATCAGAATAGAAGAGGGCCGAGCTAAAAACCTCTCATAACGCCTTAGCCAGTAACTGGGTCAGCTCCCTTGGGATTTCCGATTTTGAACATTTTTCTAGTACGTTCAAGTTTTCACTACGATTTAGTTGATAAGAAATGCGACAAAACTCAAGCACGCTCTGCGAACACTTCGATTTAAATACCAAGTGAGACTGAAACACATTGTTCACATTTGTAACTTAATAATAATTTAATCAGTTTTATTATACTATTTTAACTAAGAAAAAGGTGCAATGTGTAATGCCTATAAGAGATTGTAGCGTCAATGAATAATTATTATATTAACTAGTTTTTGCGTTGTTGGGACGGTTTTATGACTATGCAATACAAATAGATTGTATCAAAGTTATTTGGATTGGTATAAAAATGCTAAATTTCAACATCAAAACAAAGAACACGTCACAGATATCTCATACCTATGCAATCTACAGCCACGTTCCTGTGTCGACTAACGCCCGAACCCAATAATCAATCCACGATAATTATTTAAAAAACTGGTGTAAGTTAAAATCTGTTAAAATTGAAATCGAGCTTTCGTCAACTGTCATTTTCATTCAAAGGTCTATCCACAGACACCAATACGACCTCTCATGGATAGCTTGTATCGACAGATGGCTATTACAATAAGTCGATTGGTTATTGGTTATTGTGTTCGGGCGTAAGTATATAGTGCTATAGACCAGCTACAGACTAAATATTCTCAACAAATTGTTTTTTAAATGTAATGCGCGTACCTAATGGCTACAAGTGTAAAGAGTTTTAAGTGTTCTAAACTCGTACAAGTCTACTTAAATATTTAGACGCATATAAAAGTGACAAAAAATTGTACTTGTATATATAGATGAAGTAGCGACTATGAGCCGGTTTTATTTCAAAGCGAAGGCTCCGTTCAAAGCTCTAGGGAGAGAATTTTCGTAGCTACGGGCGCTTCTAGACTTTATTGTATTTTGTTTCTACGTTGAGTGAATTTCAATGTACGTGCAATGGAATAAAAGTTTTATTGGACTATGGGCGAGACGAGAATTTGTTTCGACTTTCGAGGCAATGCAATTCCACAAATGGGTACTTTTACAGCTTCACGAAACTTTATTATTGATATATAGCCTTAGTTGACATCTGAGTTTGAGTTAACGGTAACATTAACTCGTCAAGTGTTAGTGACACGACACATGAATTTTTTTGCTTAGCATAGTTAAGCTACGGTTCCACATACTTACTATTGTATTTATAAGAAAGGTGAAATATATATATATATATATTGGATAAGTTCTAAAACAAAATTAAAAATACAATAAAATATGACGTTACAAATTTTACAATCAAAATTTGCGTGAATTGTACTGCAAAGGTTTTATTTAATGGATTTCAAAGAAATTTTAAGATCAGAAAATCTTAATGGATCGAGTGCGCTTTTTATATTTTTATACGATTCTGTCCTATTAGACTACTAACGTAATAAAAGTCTTAAGTAGTTTTAACTCAGTGTTTAAATTTTGGTTAGAAGAACATTTTCATTTGTAAATCTAATTTCCCTTATACAAACTCGGCCTCAACCATATTTTAATTAAATTTTCATATTCCTAGTACCAATTTACGGAGCGGTAGTGAAATTTTAATTAACAATATTTGTACAAAATTGTTGTTTCTCAGTCTTAATAAATTAATTACATATTAATAACATAAGAAATATAAGTCTCATTCGTTTGAATAAAGATTTTGAAGCTTAATGAAATTGAAATAAATTTAAATTCACTGTTATTGGGATAACTATGTATAGATTACATTCCAGACCCTGACTGACGCATATTGTCTATATTTTCGACCCTATTTTGACGCACGGAGGTTTAAACAGATGATACCTATTCAATCTAAGTAAAGCATATGTAAGGCTTCATACAATATTGTCGTAATCCAACCGCATTATTCAGCTCATCCCACGTAATGCGATACTACGCAATTAGGTATGCCAATAACTAGACCATTACACTTATGGCATACATTATATTACGATGTCTGTGATTAATCTATGGAACTATGTAGGAGACGCACACGCGACTTTGTGTTTAAATTTAGAATGTCTTTTTAAATTTCGAATTTTCTTATTTTGGTTTGGGTTAATTTTGGAAAGGTTCATACAAAAAGGTTCGTTATTAAACTCTCATACGTTACAGTGGAACAAATTATTATATTTGATTCTTAAAATAGTTAACAAGATTTTGAGGACTTTGAGAGCCGGTAGAAATAGTACGTATTTCATTAAGGTGCTTAGTAAAAAGTTTATTTGGGTAAAGTTTGCTAGAAATACGAAACCCTAATAAAAGTATTTACAACCTATATTATCTCATATCAAAAATGATTAACTTGCTTTTAGTGTTTGGTATCAATGACCACATACACCTTACATACACTAAGGTCCGTATTCCGATTTCTGTATCATCTTTATGTACATAAATTTATCAAACTTCATATGGTTTGACAGCTCTTGTAACTACTTAGAATTCAGTTGATTGACGTCCACACGAGCCTTAAATAACTTTAACATATAAAATTAAATTTCCAATCTTAATAATAATAATTTATTACAAATAAATGGATTATTTTAAATAATATTTATTTTCATTTATTTGACGAATTCTTCTCTATAGGTGGACCTTTGCATCGAACCAGGGCAGTCGTTGGGGCTTATGATTCGTGGAGGTTTGGAGTACAACCTTGGAATCTATATCACTGGAGTTGACAAGGATTCTGTTGCTGATCGAGCAGGGCTTATGGTACAACGCTAATTTTTGTTTATTCTTTCTGTTATTGGTTCTTTTTTTGCTCATTTACTTAGATTTTACATGTCTCTAAAGTTATTGATACTTATCGAAAAAAAAAAATCATTAAAGCAAAGAATTTGGATGTATCGTTTAAATAAATTCATGACATCAATTTGTATAGTCTGTTATAGGATTTATCTAATTATGATTATTATGCAAAATTGAACGGTTTCATTATCCTATCTCATCTGTCACATTTTAAAATTGGAATAATATATGTAATCATCGTTCGAAAGATGATTTCGGTAAAAATTATTATATTTATCATAATTCTAGGATTTCCGTACAATTTCTGTATTTGAGTTACGCAAAAAGGCATGGTAATGGTATATAAAGTCTTTATATATTTATTTTTAAGTAGGCCATGAAAGGTCGCAGAAAAGAGAACTTCGTTTATCGCAGCGATACGGCTTCTAGAATATCGTAAAATAAAATTGTATCCGTCGTAAAGGCGGCATATGAATTCAATTTTGGAACATAATACTTTTATGTTTTCCTTTACGAATTTCAAATATAAAATGTAAATTGATGATAATAAAGTTGTTTGCTATAATAGGAGTAGTTTCGCATTATATTTAAATTTTTATTATACAAAAAATTGTTAATTGTGAGAATTTTATGCCTAAGTTACTTAGAAGAAGATTTAGTGTAATCTTCTTTAAGAAGATATTAAGTTTTATTTCTTTCTGAACATCCGAAAAACAGGAGATAGCGTTAAGACATCTGTTACTTTTTATAGTGATTTGTATACAAAATATGTAATTAATTCCTGAATCTCTCACTCGGAATTCTATTTAGAATTAGAGATTCCGATTTCATTATTAAGACTTCGTACCACGTGATTTCAAGTTAACGTCATCAGTGTTGCTGGCGTTGAAAGATTTTCATAAAAATTTAGGTATTAGGTTTCTCTCTTAGGAAGTACCAATTATCTAACTATTAACCAACTATTAACCAACGGAGTCAATCTCGATCAATTGGTAAGCTTGCTGGTAATTTTTCTTTTATGGTATTATTTTATCTACCAGGTTGGAGATCAAATACTAGAAGTGAACGGACAGTCGTTCGTTGACGTCACGCATGATGAAGCAGTCGCACAACTCAAATACCACAAAAGAATGTCTCTTTTGGTCAGAGATGTTGGCAAAGTGCCGCATGCGTGCACTGCTTATGGAGAGCGGGACGCAGCACCCAAGTAACTATTCATAGTAAAAAGAGAATAAGAGTCGAGATGCAGTGTGAAGTTTGTCAGAATGAATGTGTTTTTAACATAATTTTTTAATTTTTTCAACAGTAAATTCATGCATGTCATGCATATCATGCAATCGGGAAATGGTATATGAGATCAATAAAATTACTGTGTAAAAACTAATACATTTTATTTTACTGTTCTGCCTTGCGATTCTGTAACTCACTTTTCGAACTCTCACAGCGGTTTTTGCAGCGGCGGTCGCTCTCAAATCAGTCGTGAAGCAGTCATTTTACGATTTGGCATTCTGATAAACAATAAAGCTTGTCAAGACATAATGTCAAATTGCTTAACAGAATACCATGAATGTTGTTAGTGCGAGGTGAACTCACGGATTAACAGAATCGCACGGCTGGTCTTAGTACATATTAAACATAGGACATATGCTGTTGATATTATTTATAAAGTTATTTGATCTATAAACAATTATTGTACCCTCAACAATTTGCCTACATTCATACCTAAGCATATATCGAATATGCGGTTGTCTAAATGTGCCTTACTACTGACTGACTATGGAATCTAAATACAATTTTTCAATTCTGTAAAGTAGATGAAGAATTCTGTAAAGTAGTTGCCTTAATAATTTAAAATAAACATTTAGAATTTTATTTACCCGCCAAACTATTCTCTATGCAAGATGCCCTCGCAGCAATCCCTACGACGTATCTTTCTTCTTTTTTTATTTTTTTATTTTTAATGGCTCTGGCACGGTTTCTGCATTAGCCAGCGTCAAGTAAAAGATTTTTATAATTCGCACGTTTTATAATTTGCCATCCTCGGCCTAGACATTGTCTTAGAAACCTTCAATCTCCATTCTTAGGTAGCATACTCACTGTTTGCCTTAGAAATTCGACTGTGCCCTCCATGTACGGTTTAGGCACTCTCCCGGTACCGCACAACCCTCCCAAAGGCCGGGAACAAATTTAAATTAAATTAAAACCTGCCCTCGAACCGGGAATCGAACCCGGTACCCCTCATCTAGCTGCCACTTAATAAGACCGCTAGGCTATGAGGCCCCCCGTATCATTCTTGTACACACGTAAACAAACGTTAATTGTCATTCCGAGATGTTATTTACAATCTGTGATAGTTTATGTCCTGTGACTGCCGTTTAAAAATCAATATTTTTATATACTTTTAACAAATTAATAATTATTTACAAGTTATGTTACTCAAAACGATTTTAAGGATTTTCTATTCAATTGAAATAACATCTTTATTTTTCATACTGTCCAATTATAGCCCATTGTAAGTTTTAAAAAGCCTTTTTGTTCGTAGCGGGCAAATAACTGATCTTGCCTTCCACTGGGCTGTATAAAAATTTGTAAATGCCTTAAAGTAACTTAAAGTTTAACAACATTTCTCAGTGCCGCTAGGCATTTTAATATTCTTCTTTTCCTAAACGTAATGATAAAAGTTTCGCAACTGTAATATTTCTCAGCTTTATAGCTTTAAGTATAAAAGAGTTTCGTTGCACAGTAACGTTGCTGTTTTATTATACCTATAAATTTTTTTTTAATTTATTATTTTACATATAAAAAAATCATGACATTAGAAAACCACTCTGGTTTGTAAAAAAGTGACCATATATGTATAACGTGAAGATTCTGAATTTAGTCTTTGGAAACAAAACTAAAATAACAATTACATATTATGGACCTAAAAATCGGCATTATCCAGGTAGATAGTTATATCGACAATTATAAATGAAAAAAAAAATGTTTTTAAATACCAAACAAGTTACATAAATATTTAAAAAAAATTAAAAAGTTATAGGAATGATTAGTTCGGACATCTTCATTATCTATCAAAGCACAATACTATAACGACGTTTATAATTCATTTCATATCTGCACATTGACTAAATTTGGCTTAATCGGGTGTTTTTTAATGAACACGTAAATAATTAATCTTCTTAAATTAAATCGATACACTTTGAACACAGAATTAGCGGTTGGGGCCGCCGCAGAGGTGCAGCTGCAGTAGCAGTTGAGCAGAAAGCCAAATCTCTGTTGCCTCAGAGTGATCTCCCCGCGATGGCGTATTATATGGAGGAGTATGCTGCAAGGCGACTTACACCGGACTCGTTCTTGACAGTCCTAAGAGATCTTCTAGATACACCACAAAAGGTTCGTTTCTATTGTTTTAGTCAACTTGGTAGCATGAGAATATGTCGTAATATGTATGAAACATATATGTTTTATGAAGAATATTTTTTAATTTATCCACGGAGGCACAATACGCTAGGACCAAATTAAGCTAGTAGCTTATACTATTTCAACAGAAGAAATAAATGATAAACTTTTAGACTTATACAAAAAAGGCTTAGAAAAATTTCTTTTTATTCATGGGCTCAGATTTCGTTGTATTGTGTTTCATTTGTTTTTTTCCTAATAGGCAAGTGTTCATCTATCAAAAAGGATCATCCTTCAGTGCCTGACACACACAGTTCCTCGCGATATTTTCTTTCCGTACGATCGAATGTAAAATGAATGAAAAAGATGAAAGTGGCATGCTCAGGCAACTAGGCCAACACTGATCCAATGACAAATTGTAGCTTTCAATCTACAATGACAAATTAAAAAAAAACACGTTTTTTATTACTTATTAATTTTGGTAGATTTCCTTTTTGTTACATATTAAACTGACTCAGCAAGTTAAATAGTAAAAAGGTTTTCGTATTTCGAACGAATTGACGTTTGGGTCTGCCAATAAATCTGTCTTTATAGCTGCAAAGAGGGTGAAATCATTCCTAAATAAAGGAAAAAATATAGTTCCTACATACCGGAATAACACAATATTTTTGTAATTTATTATAGTTTTTTAATTTATTGTTTAATTTTCTTCAATGGATTAATAACAGGTTCAAGAAGAATTTTTGCGGAACACAAACACAAAATACCGTTTAATTTTACGTCAGTAATATTTTTTCGTAATAATGTTTTGTTCTTTATTAAAAGAAACACAACTTTATTGAAATGAAACAGATTTCTATCTGTAGGTTAAGTCTTAAGATATTCAGTCGATGGGCAATTGTTTAAATTAAAAAAAACTTCATTTACTTTGTATTGTTGCAGTATTCACTTCTAACTGAAATACGAGAGTTCCTCTTGCCAGAAGATCGACCGAGATTTGATGAATTGGTTTACAGAAGAGAAGAACCACCACCCGAGCACCATTTAAAGGTATACACACACTCACTTAACTGTCACCATCATAAGGTCAACAGACATTATTAATTGTCATAGAACTTAACTTCCTTTGTAACTTTTCCAATTTTTCCATTCGTAGTAAAGTGTAATCGTGAAATGATGTTAGCTACTTTTGTATCCATAAACGCTTCTATCCGTATTAGTAATGTAGATCAATGTAACACTTTATTAAGATTATAGTGAAATGCTAAATAATATAATTGTTTCATTTATAACTAACACAGAAGTTGCAATGTCCTAAACTAGAATCCTCTAATAAATATTGCTAGTTTATAGAGTTAAAAGAAATAAAATAGTTATCAAAACTTTGCAATGCACTAATAAGTGAAACTCAAAACAAGTTTGTGAAGTCTAAGCCAATCGTTTTGCTACCCCATAGTAGCCATTTCCGTTTTGAGTGGTTTACACATAGGAATACTATGAAAGGATAAGTACTAAGCACTTATTCTTAAAATTGTAGGTTGTTAAGCACTTAAGCACATTGCACACAACACAAAAAATAGTTAGAACGCAGCTTAAATAGATTAATTTATTTTCCGTAGCGCGGCGGCGAAAGACACTTACTCCCTTCATCAACAATGCATGATCTACACGACCCGGTGAGTGCTTTGAAATACACCCTTTTTATTTTGCATGCTTTTGTTGTCTCTGACCAGAAATATTCTAAATTCAATTTTATTTAAATTCACTTGCATATTAATATTTTTGGTCATTTTGTAACATGATACGATTGAGCTTTACTGCATGTTTTTTTTAAGTTCTAAGAACCTTAACCGGTAAGAGAGTGTTACAGTTATAGAATAGGTGTCGTTGCGATTGAGATCTTAATTTAAATATGAATTTATGTTCTAAGTGGTGTATTGTATCGTGTCATGTTTCATAGTTTAGAGCCTAAGTAAGCAAAGCCTAAACGTATATTTTGTTACTTCACACAATTCGATCATACGAGAACCGTGTCTCATTGAATTTATAGGAAAAGGGGCAGATAGGGCTTTGAAAACGCACATACTTCGCATGACCTAAAGCACTAAGAGTCGTGTTTCCGAATAATATAAAATGGTCAGGTGAGGTGTAGTATATTGTTGTAGCAGGTGCCGTCTGAAGTACCTCTAATGGTGGACCACCGCTCGCCCTCTGAAGACTCCGGCTTGGGTCTTCCGCCCCACGAATCTTACAGGTACAGGCACCAAGATAAACCTATTACATTTAGATGTCAAGTCTTTTAGCCATCTCACTTCTGCAGTCGCTCCTACGATCAATTCTGGCGATGACTTTTAAGCCGCTATTGAAATCCTTTTATCTAAGGATATCCGCTTCCGTTCGCTCTTTTATATTATCGATGCTCTTTGTAAGACTCTTCGGTATTTAATTATTTTGTGGCTGCCGTATTAGGTAGGTTAGCTCGCAATCACTTTAAGGGGTTAACAGGGAATAGCTGCACGTATTAAATTATAAATAAAACTGGTTAATGCAGCAGATGTATGGTTATCACTTACCATCAAGTAAGTACTTGTATTATATGGATATGGATTGTTTACTCGATATTTCAGCTCAACAAAAAAATGAACTTTCTATCTCAGTAAACATATATCAGAATAATGTTATAGTAACATAAAAACATATAATAAATCGTTTGATGGGACCGATACCTTAAAGTTAAATGCTCGTAAAGCTGTTTCGTAACACAAAACAGTCGGTAAAACTGTGTATTGTCGTGCTTAGGAAGTCGTAGGAATTTTATTAAGTGGGAAAATGTATAGGTTTATATTAACACGGAATGGATGTGGACATTACGATACATATCACCGAAATAACTTTTGTCGACTTAATACACTCGTTTACGGGCTAAAGTATGACGAGGTGTTGTGTGGGACAGGAGCGGCCGTGCCTGGAGGGCCACAGATGCGCCACCTTTGGAAGACGACCTGGAGCCTCCACACGAGGTGATTTTGCCAGAATTACTACACTAATCTATTCACTATCACTTCTTTACTCTTGCTAGTAGTGTCCTGGGTGTCACTGTCCTTCCTGGGTGTAGGCTATGACAGTTCACTCTTGATGCGGACCTGTGTATGAATGATTACTTACGAAGGGGCGTAATTCGCTACCTAATAAGTCGTCATGATCGTAGAACAATGTCGGATTTGAAAAAAATCCAAAATCCATTATCATATTTGGATACTACATTAACTAAATATTACGGTTGCATTAAAAAAAATTCCATGTGTTTTAAATTTCAAATTAATCAGCCGGTAAAGTGACGGATTTGATAGACGCTCATAGAAGCATGTGATTTTTCTAGAAAACTGTGTAATTTAATGTTATTATTTTTATTTTGTTTCAAAACAAAGCCTTTTCTTTGCTTGTATGCCAATTTTCATAATTATAGTATATGAATTTAAAAAGTTATGACAAAAAAATAAACATGGTTCTATTATTTTGAAATGGCTGCCCTGTAAAGTTTACTATTTGTCAGATCCGTCACTATTCTACGACTATGACGAAGTGTTAGGACGGTCGTATTATAATAAATCTAAACAACACTACCATAAGCACGAACTATACGATAGTGTACGTAATTAAATTAGTCGAAATCAGATTGTAACTGCTCGATATTTATCGACTATTCTATTCGAAATGTGTATAGTTATGCTTCGGTACTATTTCAAACAGACCCAAGTTTTCTATACAAAAATCTATCCTTACTTAATAATAACTATACGTTAACTATTTTATAATGTGTCGTGTTCGTGCTAAGAGTACAGGGACATTACTCTGTAACTTCCATTAGCGATACTGACCTTATTATCGCGCTATCCCTATCGACATCAGCGCTACGGATGTTGAGAGAACTACATCGAATTTGCATACGAAAACGCCGGGGTCTGTTGTTGCTATTGAAAGTTACAGAGTACGGATGCTGATGTCTAGTCGCGCGGATTAATAGCTAATCGCAGTTGCTATGTAATAAATCAATTGGCAAATTTCTATGCAAATAAACAACACAGCTGAGTAATTATTACCTATACTCGCAATATAGCAGCTGCAAGTGCCGGCGCCCTACTGATACCTTTTGTTTAAAATATCAGTGATATTCTAGATAGCTTCTATGTTCTATCTTCTTACTCAAATCCATTGACGAATTAAAAGCCCCATGAAAGGGAGGAACGAAAAGAGCATTACTTTAACTCTTACGCTTGTAGTATCCTTCTTATCCTTCTGCATTGATTAAAAGCCATAGGAGTGACACTTTGGCACTAGCACTGAGTTTATTTTTATTCACATTACTCATAAACCTATTTGCATGAAAGAAACGGCTAGCTTTAGACCCTCATATGGCCGTTATTTCCATATTAAATAAATTGACAAATTGGTGGGGTAAATCTGGCAAAATTATTTTAGTGGTCACGAAATTAACGTAATATCGGTAATAGCGGCCACTTCCCTTTTGGCTAAATTTTATTTTGATTGAGGTTTAAATAAAACGTTATTTTTGAAGCCGTTATAATAAGAGTCGACGAATTTGTTGATCATTGCAAATTTGCAGACAAAATAGTTTTGTAAAACTTAGGTATGTTTAGTTCAGTAAAATGAATGTACGAGGATCTAATGCACTATTTCAGCTACTAATACAACGGCTCGTTGGTCTAGGGGTATGATTCTCGCTTCGGGTGCGAGAGGTCCCGGGTTCAAATCCCGGACGAGCCCACATATACTTTTTGTATTTTTTTATAAACTTTTTTATCGATACTTTTAGTATATAGTCTAAATTCTAATTTTTCAAAAAAAGATAGAAAATATTTCTTGATTTTATAAATACGACAATAAACTTAGTTTCCTTCACCTATTTTTTTTAGAATATTAATGTACAGGTACATATACGTATATATAAATAAGTAAAATAAAAACGTTCAATTTTTTTACCGTATTCTGCGCTGTTAATATTTATTATTTAACAGAATTCTTGAAAATGGTGTTAATTAATTAACGACTAAGAATCATAGTTCAAGAATGAAAAATGAATTGCAACATAGCTGCGTTTCTCAGTAATTCTTAATGTTTTATTTATTTTCTATTCAGTATTCCACGTAAATATGTCATCATTCCTGAAAAGAAAACTGCAGGGAATTTAAAATTCCATTTTATAGTTGAAAAATTTGTATAATATGTATATTGTTTTGGACGTACATTAATCGTGATTCTAATTTCAATGTTACGTATAAGAGTCCGTTTGATGTTATTGTTATAGCCTGTAGCTAAGATTGTTTTGTTCCGTTTAATTATTTGCAACGATATACGAGAGTAATAAGGACAAAGCATTCAATTAAGGGTACGTCACCCCTCAAATGGTATTCAATTTCTAAGTATATGGGTGAGCCGATGAGTTATTGTCCTAATCCAAAAGGTCGTTTAGTTCTTTATACTTCTTTGCATCGGTGCAATTTTCATATGAAAATTATTCTAGAGGTTTTAACTTAGATGTGCCACAAAACTAGGAACGTCAGGAACACAGCCAAATTAAAATGTGACTCGCGTCACAGTTTGGTTTTAGCCACAAAGAGACAAATATGTTTAGAAAATATTTTTAATTTTGTATCTACTGTACTCTTATATCGTAAAATGACAAATTCCGTAACAAATTCTTAATGACGTGCCTAAAAAAGTCTAGTCCCAGATCATATATATTTCATATTATATACACAACATATATAAAATTAGATTATATTCTTTTTTCACGCTTCAAAGTCCTAGAAGTTAGGTTCACCAAGGAGGTTTAGGTTTTGGCGGAATAAACGCAAAGCGCGTCCTCTCTTTAACATGTTCTGATTATTAGTTATCTTTGGCAGCACCCACTTTAGCGCATGCGTCATGCGATGATGTGCTGTTTTGGCGCAATTCATACGGTTATGACGATTTTTTATCCTTTCAATTATTTACATGATTTTTGCTCAAATATCGAATGCCGTGAAATTATAATTAGGATCAGGCTAGTGAAAATTCTAAAATATAATACTGCCTACCACTTTTTGCTAAGTATCTAGATATTTATATTAAAGTTTTTGTAAATATATTATTAATAAAAATTAAAACATTTTTAGGCTAGTAGATGATCGGTTTCCTGTGTCTTAGTCGAGTCTAGATTAAGTCGAGTTATTACCTGAAACAATTATATTGTTTCCTCGTGAATCGAACCCTTGCAGTTATGACCAAGTGCGTTAATAACTAAAACCAAAAGACTTTTGCCTAAAATTAACAAACAAAAGTTTATAAGATTAGATTAAGCGGTTTAACCGTAACATTCTTTTCGCATATTCGTCACACTAACCGAGTCTAAGAACATACGTAAAGGCAATTGTCCCAATTGCGGTTGGTTAAACTCAAGTTGCCTCTGATTTGAAGCGTACTTAGAACAAAATCTCTTCAGCCTGCGTCTGACAAAGGACATGCTCTTGACAGGTCATGATTGTTGCAGCTTCATACCGCAGTTTTAATTAAAATACTTCTCTACATTCTCTAGGAAATACTGTGTCGTAAGCTTAAGGTGCGTAAGTACATCAGTTCAGTGATATTTTTTAAGCAAAGTGGTTGTTCATAACCTAGATCTTCGATCACATCAATATCAGTAAGTTAACATAAAAAAAGTCAAATATATTGTAATCTATAATAAAGTATAATTTTGAAGTGAACTACCCATTATCTAGACGTAGCATAATAGATCATACGCGCTGATTACGCTTCATTAATCTTTTTATTACATACCTTATTAAAATCACGTTTCAGTTTTAATGAAATCTTTCAAATAACTCAATAAAAATACAGATCCTCTCAGCTAAACAGCTTTCAACTACTTGACCGTAGTTTAAGATGTTGATATTACTAAGTGCTAAAGAGGGGTTTTGAAGGACGATCTTGTATTGAGACTATTATCATGAGAGTGAACGTAGCAATAGAAGTATGTCAGGATCATAGCATTAAACATTGCATTACTTCTAACATTTAAATTTCGTAATTAAAATGAATTAAACCACCCATTACACGTGGAAAGCTTTTAACAAAATTAACTGTGCTTTCACATAATGCGGTGACGTCAAAGCCAAAAGCTATATCATCGCTACCTCGATATGTCATTTCTTTCCTTATTTAACGAATGGAATATAAGATTAAACCTTCTCTATTTATAGTCGTTAGACGATTGTTGTTCTAAATATTTAAATACATTCTTTTATTTTAAACATGGAGAGGATTTTGAGAAAAATGCTCAAAATTGAGAGAGTTGGATCCAATTGGAGGAGGCCTATACTCAATAAGAAGTCCTTGAAAAATAATATATATATATTATGGTAATTTTTCAAGGAATAAATGAGGCTTAATTTTTATTATTATTTTAAATATAATAGTCGTACCATTTTTACTTGATACAGAGGCACAAAGATGTTTATAAAAATCTTTTATTTAAGAATCATAGGAGTTGTCAACTAGACAATATTTACATAAAGATGTTTATTTTACAAAATTCGTTTCTTACAAATAATATAACAATGTATTTATATCAATAATTGTTATCGTCATTCGAGAAATTCTTATCATATGTTTTTAATCAAACCAAATAGTAACAATGCCATCTATTTATAAATCTTCACTCAAACCAAGTAAAATCTACGCGTCTACGATATTACTACGCAACTGAAAATTTGGCGCGGGAACGTCTACGGGGCTTCAGCGTTTGTTGACGACCGGCGTCAGTGAACGCGTTGCCTCCCCTGCAAGTAGACGGCATGTCGCGACGCCGCCGCCGTGTCGCCTTTCGCGACTATATTCCCATGGACTTGAAGGCCATGGCCAAGGTATAAGAATTTAACTTACTATATAGCACGGCTTCTTCGTCTATGATCCTTTAATCAATCAAGAGAATCAATTGCGTAGTTTTGAAGTTCGAGAAGGTTTATGTGGCTAGTGAGGAGTGATCGCT